CTCTCTCTCTCTCTCTCTCTCTCTCATAGGACAAACACAGGGTGTATGAAATTAAGATTTTACAAAAAATTAAACAGATGAGCAGAAAAAAAGTATCCAAAACCAGATAGGTTATCGAGTGTGGGCCGTTTTAGAGGCAAAAAGAAGAAAAAGCTCGTCCGTCAATGTCTGACGATGACCAATACATCCGCAGAGCGGAATGTCTCAATCGAAATAATAACAAATAATAAGAATTACAAGAATTGAAGGTTACGGTGACTTTATAGTGGTTTCTGCCATGGCCGATTGGGCCAATTTTGGCAGGAAAAAAAGTTTAGATCTACTACAGTTTGAGAATCCGGAAGAGTCCAATTTAACTTGTGGATGTGCACGGCTTGCGGGCTTCTCTCTTGGTTTCAGCATTTTTCTTATTCGTGATTCGTGAAGCCTCGTATAATGACGTGCTGCCAATTAGGAGCTTAGAACTAAACTGTAAACTCCTTATTGCTTGCTGCTCTCTACTCTCTGTGACTGCTGCTGTCTGTCAGGAGCTGGACTTTCCCATGTCGAAAGATGTAGATCTATGTTGGAAGTTCTGCAGGGGCATTTTCAGGTTGTCGTTGTAGCGCTTGTGTGTGTGTGTGTGTGTGTGTGTGTGTGTGTGTGGTGTGTGTGTGTGTGTGTGTGTGTGTGTGTGTGGTGTGTGTGCCAACTTTACGCTTCCCTGAAGACAATTCAGACTAAAATAGGCCCTACTTCCTAAAGGATTCTGAAATCAGGCGTTCTTAGCCTTAGCGACATGGCCAGCGCCCGGCGAAGTTGAATCCATTAATTTGAGCTCAGAAAACAGACTCTCTCGGCATTTGCCCTTTTGAGAATTTCAGTGTCTGCCCATCAAACGTATAGATCTAGAATCTAGATGCAGATCTAGGCTCAAATAAGGGGGTGGGAACTAGTAATAATAATAATAATAATAATAATAATAATAATAATAATAATAATAATAGATAGCATTTGTATAGCGCATATCCCCGCTCAACAGCAGGCTCTATGCGCTTTACACTATATTATTACCCCAGCAGACCATAGTACACTCCGAAACATTCTCAGCTTCCCTGGAAGCATACAGTGCGAGCAGCCGATTAATAAGCGCTCAAACACTAACAAACTGACAAGATCTTTCGCTGTCTATAGCCGGGTACCCATTCCCACCTGGGTGAAATGAGGAAAATTCGTGTAAAGTGCCTTTCCCAAGGACACAACGTCGGGCCCTTGACGGGATTCGAACCCACGACCTTACGGTTGCGAGTCCGAGAGCCTAACCAGTAGGCCACCGACACCCACACACACACACACACACACACACACACACACACACACACACACACACACACACACACACACACATTAGTACCGAAAAAGTATCGGTATTTTATCCTGCCTTTTGATACCAACAAATTGACATGCATGGATTTGTACACCGTCCAGGTGTCGGCACTGCACAGCAGGTTGAGAGGACCACAGCATTGTAGACTTTTCCACTTGTCTCTGTGCGGATGTTACAGTGCAGTCCCAAACCCTTGTTCTGAGTTTGTCAAAGGATGCACCGGTTTTATCATCCTATCAACCAGGGGCGGCTCGTGGGTCTAAAAAGTGGGCGTGCACAATTAAGCTATCTTAGGCTGAAGATAATCAAGGGCAGAGTAAATGGGATGGTGTATAATTTTAGGATTTTTGGGTTGGTGAAGGAAGACCCTGTGCTTTTATTTTCATTATTTTTACTTGTGGCTTTGACTTCTAGACTAGAGCTAAATCTGTTTGTTAACTAAACGAAACGCCAATTTCATTCATCCTGCATTAGAACTGAACACTCACTCAAGTAATACCTTTCACCACTCCACAACAAAACCGTTCAAAAGCACAACTGATAGGACGGCGACTTAAGTATGTCACGTTCACCTCCCTCAGGTTCACGATCACAGACAGAGTCACTTAAAATAGCGGCAAGACAATGAACCAATCACAATTCACATGAGCACTCCGCTGGATTACTCCGGGGCCGACATAATTTTGGCATGGAATAGTGCACAGTCTATGGCGTTTATTTTTAGATTGCCTACTGTGGGCTATGTTTCGGCGCTATTCGGCAGAAGCACATTTGAAATGTGCCGTCTTATTAATATTAATGTACTGTCAAACTCTCTACAAGTGTCGTCATCGCTTGGGTTATCCCAAAGAGCGATTTATAGGTCAGGTTTCCACTATTGACTATCCTGTTAGGCATGGCATAGTAGATGTTTTACGGCGCTATAGAATAGAAATGACAGTTACGGCGCCATCGAGGGCCTTGTTTTTATCTACTATTTGGCTAGTGTTTGTTTCTGGCGTCTTTTATTTTATTATTGTGGGTGCTTTACGTCATAGAACATTAAAACATTTTGGGCGGCTTTGCACGACCGTGCTCTATGGACGAACCGCGCCTGCTATCAACATTGTTCGGTATTGGGTTTTTTAAATGTGTTTTCATTTCAAGAGGAGAGTCTGTGTATCACCACGGACAGGCCAAAGGAGAACGTACGTCTTTGCTGTGCTTATTATGAATCGAGAAAAGGAGAAAATTTAAGAGAAGAAAATTGTCCGTCGCTAACCGGATTCGAACTCGGGACCTTTTGAATGAGAGGTGAGCACCTTAACTTCCAGGCCACGAGAGCCCCCACAACAACAATAATAATAATAATAATAATAATAATAATAATAATAATAATAATAATAATAATAATAATAATAATAATAATAATAATAATAATAATAATAATAATAAAATAATAATAATAATAATAATAATGATAATATATTAATAATAATAATAATAATAATAATAATAATGATAGTAATTGCATTTTTATAAAGCACACACCACACGGTACCTTTCATAGCATACTGTCTATAATATGTGCTTTACAACTACATGTATATGTAATCTATCATTACCCCAGCAGATCATAAAACTCTTCCCAATCAAACATCTATCATCGTTATCTCCCCCCTCCTTCTTTTAGTGTTAAGTTACTCTCTTGTAACACCTCTAATCTTCGGCACTTATATCATATGATCGTATTGTGTTGCAAATGCCGTAAAACTCTTACTAAAACTAAGATCCTAAAACACTACTCTTAAACCTTGTAGTTTGTAGGCCTCCCGGGGAGTATGGGCCTGCAGTGCAAGATGTGGATTGCAAGCGCAAAATGTACATGTCGTATCTCGAAGAGGTTATTGATAAATTAAAGGTACCAACTGTCAACCTCTTTGGTGTATCTA